TTGTTCTTAACTTTCCAGCACCTGCCTGTTTAAATCAGCACAATACATCACAGTTATAGTTGTAAATGGATTTTTATTCTTATTTGTGTGTGCCTTTTCCGCATCTTCCCTATACTCCCCACTATATGTAACATCCATACTGAATAGGAGTTCTGAAGGGTTTGCCAATCTGCATACTATCTGGGGACATTTTGGCTTGGCTAGCTAACACATCACTGCCTTCAGTTTCTTCTTCATGTCAGTTATAAGTTGAGAGCAGGTGTTCCATCAGACTGCAGAAAAGGGAGAGATGTGAAGGAGGGCTATTCCATCACTTACACACACACACACCTTCACTCAAAGTATTTTTTACACTCAGCAGTAGATTAAACTCCCCCCCCCCAAATATTTGCAACTGAAGCAACAATTTTCAGGTGGGGGCAGTGATACCAAATACTTCCAAGAGCTTCTCATGAACAATGGGAACAAATTCTACAATGACATTTTATTTTAATGCATGAAGATTTAGTATTATATGTGAACACGGTCACTCTCATTCATTCCTGACAATATATTCATAATAAAAAATTGTCCTCCCTTAATAAACCATTACTTCATTTGTATCCTAATTTGGCCACCAAAAAGCCCTAGAAGAGGCAGTAAGATTACAATTCCATGAATTCTTCAGTTCACAAATCTTCCCTGAGGTACCAAGAGAGTTCTTAAATCCACTTCAAATGTATTTAATGCCTAGTTTGGACATGTGCTATGATAGGAGTCTAATATAACACATGAGATCTGTGACTGATCAGATCTTCCAGTTTTTAAAACCTGTGAAACATTAAAGCTGGGTGTAATTTTTTTGCTTTAAGTAACAGAACTGGAGGAGAGGGTTCTCATATGCCATTCCCTGACTAAAATCAGATAATCTCCCTCCCCACAATTATTAATTTAAAATAAAAGGCAGCAACATTCAATTGCATATATTCTGTGTCTCATCACTGTTTTGGCCTTGTTTGTAATTTAACTTCCAGTGCAAGCCGGGAGAAGGGGTGCTGAAATCAAGACATACAAAGAAATATTAATAATCGCTTAAATCCACCAAGTGACATATTTTGAAAGAGGTGGTACACCTTCTCTTGTTATGTAAGATAGAACAAGCTGGGAGGTACTCTTCTCTTTAGTAATCTGTCCTCATCATCAGCACATTAATTATGGTAAAATCTGAAGATGTGGAACACCAAACTACAGTGGTGTAAGGGGAAAGAAACAGACGTGCATCAGCTCTCGCTTAATAGCTGTGTAGTTTTAGACAGGGCAACTAACTGACAGGTAAGGGCATGTTCTAGCATGAAAACATTACTCAAGTGTTCTGTTAAAAGATTCAAGTTAAAGGAACTGAATAAATCTTTCCTTGTTGAACTTTACTTGTAGATTCCAGGAAACCTTTACCCTATGGGTTTTGCTGATGAAGAAGATATTTCTAAGGAATAAGAAGTCAAAGGTTAACCTTATCACTTTTGTATCGCTTGTATTACTGGAATACATTTCTTTCTGTACATAAAAGAGATAATGGGAATCCATTTATCATTAAATGATAAATCACTAAATACTAACTATATTGTTGATATCACTGACCAAAATGATTGGCAACAGATCTACTCTGTGAGATCCAGAGCAATTCGCCTCCGAAAGGAATCAGCTTCGGTTCAGTTCATGGAATGAAGATTCTGCTCACAAAAGGGCCTCCTCTACAGTTGCTACTCTCTTTCCTTTTACAAACTGGATCTGACCCATTGCTTGCATAATATTAGAAGAACAATGAAGCCCTAGAAAATAATGAACTGGTTTACATGATGTGGTGGAACACTACCAGCTTGTAATATAAACATCTGTTTGGGGGGGGGGAATTGAGCAATTTCCAAGTAATACAACAATCATTTACTCTGCTATAGAATGCAAAATATAATCTCTACTTTAAATAAATAAAAATGTTCTTACATTGGTGTGTTTCCTCTACTTCTTTATAAAAGTGTAATCTTAAATTAAACTCTGAACAAAAATAAACCCCTTTAAATTAATTAACTCAATTAACCCAACTTGGATTTGCTTACAAGAAAGATCTAGCAGAAGCCCAATTGCTTGTAAAGAAGCACCCAGGAAAAGAGGCTGTGGAATGCTTCGGACCTCCATGGCTGGAGGTTTCCTGGTACTGTGGCAAAAAAATGTCAGCAGCAATTCTGATGGTTTGATGGGGGCTATTGTAGAATGTTACAGGCCCTTGTTTAACAGCTCCAAAAATTTCAACAAATCTTGATTTGACATAGTTTATTCTCTTTGATTGGTTTCAACAGTACAGAAAAGTTTTTAGAAAACTAGAAAGAAACAATAACCTACTTAACTGGCCCCTGTTCTTGCCAGAGCAGATTTCTGAACCTAGTCTTCCAAGGCTCTGCTTTGGATGTCCTTCATGAAAGTCCAGTGAAATGGGTAAAAAGGTGGTTTTTTAAAATTTTATTTTATTTTAACAAACTCCATAATTTCCTTTAAGTATTCAAACTTTACCGGGCAGCAAGTCCCATTATAGTGCAGTAAAAGGAATGTTGGCAACATGAAAGGGCAAAAGTAGGAGAGAGGGAAGAAGAGAAAATATTGTGGCACTTTGAAAACTAATGATTTGTTTCAGTACAAGTTTTTGGGGATCCACAAGCGCCCATACAAATTTTGCTAGTCTTTACAGTGCTACAATATTGTATTTACTTTCTTTTTGGCCTCTTTAATTTTGCCAACATGCTGAGACAGATTAACATGACGCTTCTTTGGAAACTTTAAAAGGAATGACAATGCATTTAGATTATACCTGGAGCTAAATTACTATTCTGAGAGCTAAAAGGTCTTTTACCTTTCATCATAAAAGTCTACTTCACCTATGGTCCTGGTGTATGTGAAGAACTGATCCAAAACACTGAAGACATGGTTTAACAAGTATTTTTCTCTTGTCATTTTTCATTGCAGAGATGGGAAGCTCTAAAAGGGAATCCTCATACTTTCAGTGCCCTCACCAAATTAGTCTTGTTTTGCTTTGGGACGGTTAAAGTGATATTCTACATCAAGCCTATCGAGGGATGCCTCCACCACAGCCTAGTGGTCAAGACCATAAAGTGCCTTGAATAAAGCGGATGTCACTCTCTGTTACTGAAACACCTGGCTTGTAGAATGTCCACGCCTTTTGCAGTCCGATTGGCACCGATGATGGCCTCATTTCAGTGCAAAAGAACCTGCCTCTTCACCAAAGCTTTATTCTGATAAACTGTTGATAGCATGCAATTGTTTAAAACTATTTTAAAACATTTTACATTATTTTGTTTTCTGTACTCATCCTAAGATACAGGGTATCTGAGACAAGGATTTTGACTGTTATGACTCTAGCAGTTCTCTTCACAAGGAGATGGACCCTATCAAGGTGCCCTGAAATTTCTTATTGTTTGAGAAAGGAATGGCCTTGAACAGCACTGAGGGTCTACATGGGATTTATATGAATAAAAAGGCCATATCTGCGTTCCTTTCAAAAGTGGAAGATTTTATTTTGAAAATCAGATTATAGTTAAAAAAAAGATATGGGCAGTCCAGTATAAAAACATACAAATACCGTAAAATAAATGTTTTAAGTTCAATTAATGCTGCACCTGTTTTTCTCACCACCTCTTTTCCCTTCCTGATTTTTTTTCTCCAACAATCCACCAAATTCCATAACTCCTCTTCTAAACTTTCATGATTCATGTTGGCTACTGGTGCAATCTGGAACACATTTTTCAGGAGAGTAAAGAACCATCACTGAATTAACTGGGACTCAAAACAAATAAAAAGAACACTAAATTGTGAATTATGAAACATATCTCAAAAATTTTGTATTGTACTTGGAAACCTTTGTAGCTCCAGATATTACTGAAGTACTGCTCTCACCAGATCCTGCCAGAGCCTTTAGTGCACGAGTGGCACCTACTTATGTGGCATTCCCTTCCCTCACAAACTAAAGATGCACCTACAATTTTGACTTTTAAGACCTAAAAATTAAATGCATGTTGAAACCATATTTATTTATACAGCTCTTCCCTATATATGCACAATCCAATTTAAAATGTACTTTTGCTATTACAGTATGTACTCTCAAGTCAGAACCTGCGTATTGCCACCCTAACAAGCTAAGTGAAATGTTTAAAGAGTGGTTTTACCAGTTCCAGTCACCCAGTGAGTTTCCACTGCTGAATGGAAATTTGAACCCAGAACCCTATCCTCTACACCAAACTAGATGTCCTAAAACTCTTACAGACTACACAATACTGTGTGTTGATCTGAATACTGTGTGTCTTGTATACTGTATTATCTATTTGTGTATAGTATGTTGTGTTGTTGTAAACCGGTCTGACATAGTGAAATCTATGTGGTTTACAAATATTAATACCTGAATAATGCATAATAAACCATAAGGTTGATGAGAACTGTAGTTTAACATCTGGCGACCTCCAGGTTCCCCATACTTTGCTCTATTGTGCTCCGTTCCTCACCTGCCCATAAAGAGTAAGTACTGCAAAACTTCTTTCGCACTTTATATTCTTTTAACAATATACAGTATTGCGGTTCTAGGTGTTTTTTTAAAAACCTGGAAGTCCCGCCTCTGCCCTGATGACAGATACCCAGAATCACAGCAAGCATTGGTTACTTCTCAGCGAGGCAAAAGAAAAAAAAGACACTTTGCACATGCTCAGAGCCTTCTTCATCGACTGGGATGGTAAAGTAAACGGGAATTTTTATTCAAAAGTGAAAGAACGGTCCCTCTTGAACCAACATTTCCGCCTCACGCGAGGACCCCACGGCTATAACCCCCCGAACGGCAGTTTGAGACTGCAGAGCTACCTTCAGTAGACGAGAGGAGCGGGAAAACACTACGGCTCTTGCGCAGGCGTACTAACAAAAGAGCGGAAAACCCAGGAAACGGACGGCGCTAGGACCTCCCACGACAGGCCCGCGTCGCGCTCGCGCTTTGCCCGTCGATAAAGGGCTCGCGGCGGCGTTTGACGTCACAGAGAGTTAATTTTAAACCTGGACAAGATGGCGGAAGGGGACGCGGCTCGGTACGGGCAGCGAACAGAGCTGCCCCGGTTACAGCCGGACTTGACAGGTAACTGAACCGCTGCCTTGGTTAGAAAGAAGCGGCGACGGTTGCCGGGAGTGACAGCGGCCCCTTCACCGAGAGTACGGAGTGGGGCTTCAAGGCCAGCGTCTCCCCCTCCCCCTTTTCTTGCCGTAACGGTTGCAGGCGGGAATGGCTTGCCTCAGGGGGCAACGCGTCGTGGGGAGGGGGATCGAGGCGGTGGCAGGTTGAGGGGAAATAGGCGGGAGGCAGGCCTTCTCTGTCTCCTTCCCTCGCTTCCTCTCCTCCCTCCTTCCTTGCCTTCGGACAGGCCGTAGCACACAGGTGTGTTGGTCCGGCAGTGTGTGTTGAGGAGCACCAGGTTGGGGGGGTGTCTGCCGTTTGTAAGGCCCCGTCTGGCTTTCTGGGGGAGCGCTCGGGAGGTTGTCGCCTGCCCTGAGAAGGGCGTTGGCGTCTGCCGGTAGACTGTCTGTAGGTGGGGGAGACAGGAGTTTCACACCGTGAAGGGGAGAGGCGAGCAAGGCGGGTGGGTGACCCAGCCGGCGCCTTGAGGGCGAAATGCAGGAACTGCCTGGTTGCCTTATTTGGTGCTTTTGCTGGGGTGTGGGTGATGATTTGCGGCGGCGTCGGGCAGTGGGCATCCCTCGAGGAAGTACCTGGTTTATGTGTATTCCGAGGTGGGCACTGGATTTGAAATACAGTAAAGGAATGTGGAATCTTGTTAATTCGTGGAGGATAAAGTGATGGACGAGGAGACATGGGTTCGAACCTTTCCTCACCTGTGAAAACTTATTGTCAGGGGAGCATTGGGAAAACCACTGGATAGCTGGGCAGTGGGCATCCCTCGAGGAAGTACCTGGTTTATGTGTATTCCGAGGTGGGCACTGGATTTGAAATACAGTAAAGGAATGTGGAATCTTGTTAATTCGTGGAGGATAAAGTGATGGACGAGGAGACATGGGTTCGAACCTTTCCTCACCTGTGAAAACTTATTGTCAGGAGAGCATTGGGAAAACCACTGGATAGCTATCTCACTTGCCTTGAAAACCTTGTTAAGGTTGTTTTAAATGGAATGGTACAAAACGCACACAACTTAACAGCTGCACTCAGGTATATTTTGGAATTCATGTCACAGGCCTGGTGTGGTGGGTGTGAGTGAAAGGAAAAACTGGTTTGCAGTTTCTCAGAAGTAAGCTGCGGGTCAAGGTCCCATTGTTGTGTAGAGTGGGTGGAAAGAGCCGGTGCCCCACAAGATAACCTTTAGTCTGTGGTGCCTGTGAGTGCTTTAGGAGGAGATGGAAGTAGGATTTGTCTTGCTATAATAGTTGCTTCTTTTGAACCATTTGTTTTCCCAAATTAGTGTAGTGTACTCTGAGTAGCAGAGGTGTTTCCAGGCCTTACCTAGATGTGCCAGGACTGGACCTGGGAATTTTTACAGACAAGTTGTCTGCTTTACTATTGAGTGCTTGCCTTGCCTTTTAGCAGTGAAAATATGAATCTTTCGGGGTGTTATGTTAATAGTCATGAGGGGAAAAAAAAAGGTATTCTGGTATAATTGGGGAATGTGTACATCCAGTAAGAGTGTGTGGGATATTATAGAGTGCTACTTGAAGCCATAGAGTGTTGCTGTAGTTACTGTCTGATTTGGACTAAGGAGATCTGGATGCATGTCCCTACTTGGCTGTCAAGATTGTGAGGTGGTTACGGTCTCAGTCTGACCAACCTCACAGAATTGTTAGGATAAAATGGGACAAATGAGAGTCATGTATGATGCCTAGAGCTCGTTGGAGAAAATGTCGAATATAATTGTAATAGATGAGTAAAATGGGTGTTGAAGCAGTGGTCTTAAGTGAATTAAAGCTACACACTGTGCCAGGCTATTGAGCTAGTAGGATAGATCAGCTGCTAAATGATATTGTGCTAGATTGCATTAAGTGCATAGTAAGGGGAGGGGAGGTACTGTACTGGCATTACTTATGTAATAAACTAAACATCCTGTGCATTTTAGTGGGTGAAGGGGGTATCTGCTTGTGATATTTTGGACCTATGAGTAGTAGTGATAGTAATGCTGATTGGAGAAATTTCTGATTGGACTGTAATGCTTACAGCTTGCATATTGTGATATACAGTACTTTTAAATGCTTAAAAAAATCATATGTTTCTCCTTCCACTACAGTTTCTCCTGCCATAGGAAAACTCTTGGAGCTGTGCATTTGTCCATGCCTATTTGTAGATCCTTGGTGAATGTAGAGTGGTGGGAGGAAAGAATCTGAATTCAACCTGATAACTGATGACCTTATTTTCCCCTCCAATATGGTTTGAATTGGCGAAGGCCCAAGAAGTCTTGCTTTTGTGTATATCATGTGATAAACTTGTGTGCATGTTTCTTGCCAAACCACTAGGGGAATATGCTTGTATAATGCTTGTTCCACTTCTTTCCATAAATAAACTTGCCAATTGATATTCAGTTGAAATCATGGTGTGAGTAACTGAGAAATATTTGAATAAAATCTAATTGTAAAGGAAATTTATGTTCTAAAATGAATCAGTGAAAATGTCCTTGCTAATAAAGCATTTCCGACAGCTCTATTGGCTGGCTTATTTGAACATTTGGCACTAAATATGAAATTAAGTAATAAGTCTTCTCTATAAAAATGTTTTTTCCTCTTGGGAATCTATCTAGAAAGTGTGCTTAATTTCCAAGGTAAAAACTGTTAAAAATTGCAGGTAAATTAGTCTTGTGCAGGCTTCACTGCTTTTCTTTCCAAGGCCAAACGAGGAAAATCTGTCTAATGTATATAATCAGAGATAGGAGTGTACTTTTTTTCTAAGTGCTGAAAATACATCCTTTCCTTAGCATAGTGTTGGGAAATCATTTAATTTTGTGAGGGATGTAACCTTTTAATACTTTGCTCTTTAGACATCATATGCTGTTTGAGGCATTTAAAGAACATAGTGGTTAAATTGGATATGGAAATCAGATTTTTTTTTGGAGGGGTAAAAGTCAATTTCTGTATTTCCATACTCCTTTGAGTGACTTAGACATACATTGGATAAAGCTGTGCTTTGTATGTTCGTTATGAATGTCCAGACTAGTAAGATTTCCAGCTGGCCTTACCCACTTTGTTTTGGTCCTACCTCCTGTAGCCCCCTCCTCAAATAAGAATTTCATTCCTGGGCTGAGAAAGATATAAACCATCTCTATGTTAGAGAGTTAATTGTTATTATAGAGAGCTTTTAATGGCTTTACCAAGGCAAATATTGTATGCAGTGTTGTGCACAACTAAATGTATATGCATCATTATCTACAATGTACCTGCTTCTAAATAGAGTTTCATAGTTGTGGTTTTGATCCTAACAGTAACCAGGAATCTTTCAGATGATTGTATTTGTTGGAAAAACATGACATGAGATCACACATTTAGCCATGTTTTATGGCATATGTGGAGTTTGGGATTGTTCACTCAACCTAAGGATACTACATAATTTTTAAGCTTAAAAACTTTATTGTTAAATTGAGAACAGGAGAAAATCTTAAGTTATTAGCAGTGCAGTAACTTGCCTGAGGATTCCCAGTGTGGTGCAATGGATAGTGTGATGGACTAGGACTCTGGAGAACAGGGTTCGAATCACCACTTGGCTATGGAAATTAACTGGGGGAGTGGAACTGGCAAAACCACTCACTTACCTTGAAAGCCCTATTAGGGTTACTGTAAGTTGGTTACGACTTGATGGTACTGCACACACATACAACCTGCCGGCGATTCTTTATATTGCTGCCAATTACTTGTGAAAATCTTGAGTTCTTGAGATGTTAGGTAGTGTAAAGAGCTTCTTTTGGAAGCAGGGAGATTTGAAATCTTGCCTGCATGATGCTTGCAATGTCAGCCTGCAGCCTAGGTCTACATAAAGTATCAATGCTTTTACATCTGCAGTTGTCATGTCCCAAGTACTGAGAATAGATACTATAGATCAGTGGTCCCCAACCTTTTCCCAGCCACGGACTGGTTGGGGGGGCATGTTGCGCTTGCGTGGGGTGTGTTGCGCTCATGGGAGGCATGGCGCATATGTGGGAGGGCAGGAAAGCTGTGGTCTTTGGCCCAGTTCTGGCCAGGGCGTGGACTGGTGTTGGGGACCCCTGCTATAGATGGCTGAGGCACTAGATGTGGACAGTGTAGTGTTACAAAGTATTTATTGCATTAAATAAAGGTATTGTACAAGTATAGGTGGGCTTTCAGTAAAAGGCAGTTGCAACAGTTTGGTTCCATGTAGTGGTAGATGTGTTGTTCCATGTAGGACTATGTAGGAGGGACTTCATGTATTGATAATAGGAATTCACAGTCTATTCAGTTAATGAAATGCTGCAGAACAAGGGAGTGCATTGAGTTTCAGTAGCTGTTTTCGTACTGAAATGATTTGTTTATTTGAACATACTATAAGGATCAGACTACAAGAGCAATATGGCTGACACCTATTTTGGATTGTTTCTTCCTTGTTACCTTTTTGTCTTTTCAACTGGCACCTTGGGCAGGTGGGAGATCTACTAATTAGAAGCTGAGACAGAAAAAGGTAGCTGTCTGGAGAAGGTGATATGCTTAATTGTCAAGATTGGGATGTGGAAAAAGATTCCCAAATGCCCCTTCCTTGAAATTGCACAGGAACTAAATTATTAATTGGTCATACTAAAACATGCAAACTGGTGTATACAATACATAATAATGGCACATCCCAACTTATTGAAGCTAGAAGGTCAAGAGTAGGAATGTACTGTTCTCTGTGGTTTTCTTCTTTGGACTATACATTATTTATTTATTGGACTTATATACCGCCCCATAGCGCTACAAGCACTCTCCGGGCGGTTTACAATTTTAATTATACAGGCTACACATTGCCCCCCCAGCAAGCTGGGTATTCATTTTACCGACTTCAGAAGGATGGAAGGCTGAGTCAGCCTTGAGCCGGCTACCTGGGATTTGAACCCCAGGTCGTGAGCACAGTTTTAGCTGCAGTACAGCGAGAAATATACA